ACACGCTCCAGCCCCCCCAGGTCCTTCAGGGAGGGAGGGGCCCAACCCTGACCCCAGCACTCGAGGGGCGGCCCCCCCAGTGCCCAGCACAGGGGCATTGTACTTTTTTAGGCAGAAAGAGCCAACTGCTAAGCAATAAGGCATCTGCAGGAAGACTGGGATCCAGTCAAGTCTATTTGCTGGCCAGCAGAGAAACACATAGCTCTTCAGCCCAGGTTGTGGGGCCAATAATAATTTTGCACAGCAGTGTGTAATATATCATGTAAGCTTATTTGAAGAATACTAGATGATAAAGATTAAGCATTGAATGGCTGGTTTCAAATGATTTCACCTCCATCTACCCTTCTTTAGGAAGAGGTTTGGTGCTGGAAACATACCCTCCATTAAGAGTAGGCGTCAAACCAAATAGTGTGCACAGCCCAACAGACATGAGCAGAGAGCTGAGCACCGTCACGACCGCTGCCAGTGCCAGACCCCATTTTGATTTCACCATGTCAATCTTCCCTGAAAGACAGAATGTAAAGTCTCGGTTAGCAAGCAAAAGAAAAATGACATTAATAAAAAAAAAATCAAGGAGAAGGGATCCTCATCCCAACTGATTTCAGCAGGTAGCCCTACAACCCAGTAGTGGTAGCTCGGTCTCAGTGGCCGAAATGCAGCTCCCAGATGCTCCCAGTACGTAAGAGGTACTGTAACAAGGATGGGACAGAGGATAATGCATGGCTCGCAATTCAAACTAGTTCCAGTAGAGCACTGTTGGGGCATGAAAAAAGGAACTTAAATGTGGCTAGTAAGGTCTAAAACCACTGGTCCAGAACATGTATTTGATCTGCCTCACAACACACCTGTCTCTCCAAATTGGAAAAAATATCATTGCTGTGGCATTTAAAACTGCATAAAGTAGAAAACACCTCAGAAGATATCAGAAGGAATAACGCCACACTGGCTAAGAGGGACAAATTTACAGAAATCAGATAAACAGGGCTATTAATTCTCTACGTGACAGTTCAGGGTAAAA